TAGACAAAATAAATAAAACAATTTTTTTGGACATTGGACTAGAGGTAGCACAGAGATAAGGAAAACAAATAAGATGAGCTCTAAACATTGCCCAAGCTTGCTTTCTGGAGGCAGTTTCTAGTGTAGGGAGAACTCACCAAAAATAATGTAGCTGTTTCATGTTGATGAGATGAAAGAGGAGTTTGGGGATCCAGAGCAATTTGTGGATGAGTGCACCAGAGGGGAGGGATTTGAAAAGAGAGGGAGCGAGAGAGACTGCAGGGGAGTCACTTTAAATCTTTGACTTAGACCTGCACATACAAGAGAGGACACTCAATGAGTTCGGTATCCCCTCTTCTTAGGGGTTCCTGGAGCATACTTGGGGAGCAGCAACCTTACACTTTTAGCCTTACGAGGGACAGGTAACCTTGTGTGGGTAACCTGGTTCTTGACACACTATATTTTTACTTCTGTCACATCATTTTTTAAAATCCAATTTAGTATTTGTTTTTAGAAAGCCAGTTTAGATGCTTCCTATTATTAGCCCAGCTATCTTCATTCCAGAGGCATGCATAAAGTATTTAGCTGTCTCCTATTTACTTGTTTAATTAGGGAATTCAGGAATCTTAATTAAAGGTACTGCTTTGCTCAGTGTCTGTTGGCTTGTTTGTCTCATTTCCTTTGCAATTATCTGTGCTAGTAAAACAAACCCAGCAGAAAATTGAAAAGGGCCGTTTTTCATAGTTTTTTCTTTCTCTAGGACTGGGTTTGCTGTATGCAAGGTCTGACGGTGTGGTAAGAAAGCAAAACATTGTTCGCAGCTTCTATAAACCATTTAAGGCATCTGTTATGGCAGACTGCCATGATATTTCCCTGCACAGGTTCTCAGCGGCTGTGCTGTCCATACAATAACAATGGCTGTGACTAAATCAGCTGAATACAAAAATAGTTTTCTTCAGATAATTAATATTCCCCCTTAGTAGATTCTCTCACCAAATTGAAATTAACTTGGTTTGGACTCATATCAAAATTTGGCTCTTAAATAGAGTGGTCATGCTAGCAGGACTCTGGCTAAGCAGATCCCCTAGCAGTTCTTATGCTAAGGTGCAGGCTTGGGAAGCCCTGAGCACAAGCATTCTTTCTAGAAATTTACAAAGTTGTCTACAGTGTGCAACGCTCTGCAAAAATCTTGTAAGCCAAAACAAGACATAATTCCTATCTCAGGTTGCTTTCAGTCGAGTGAGGAGCAGATAAGTAAAATGGATCTTATCCCTAATCCTGCCTATATTCCCACTAGCTCGGGCCCAGGCAATAGCTGACACATTTATCACCAGGTGAGTAAACCCTGTCTGAATGTATTACCTCTGGTGTTTAGATTTGTTTTTGTCCTTTAATCTCCCTCTTCCTTTCTGAGGCCTGTTTTCCAATATGTTTAACCCCCACCATTCAGAAGTCTAACACCTCGTGGGTGGGAGTGCAGGATGTGAGGGAAGAGGAGGCAACATTTACCTTCCCGTTTGGGTGTCCAGCCACTCACCCAGGGCTTTCTTACTTCCATCACACTAGTTCTCTGATGAGCTTCCAGAAGGAGTTAGTATTGTCTAGCCTTTGGAATAAATAAACTTCAGTTACAAACTAATATATCTTAAATTTTGTAAAACAGTCTCAAAATTTAAAAAGTCCTCCATTTTGCCTGAAAGTTGAATTAAGGAATGGCCTCTGGAATTTGGTTTATGTGAGACGTGATTGGATTGTGGTTCTTGACGCCAGTGGCCACCACCTATGCTGGCCGCCGTTGAACCTCTTCTCAACGTAGAGCCTACGACACGGAAACAAAAGTAAGGCTGTCCTGACCTTTGAAGGGCTTTTCCCTCCTCTCTGCTCCTCAAAACTAATAATTTTGGAGATGCAGTGATCCCAGCTTCTGTGTGGAAGTCCCAAAGAGCAGCAGCAGTGTGCCTTTGTCAGACCTTGAGTGGGGGCAATGTTGAAATAGGAAGACTCAACTCTACCCAGACCCCTAAGTGCTTTATGCAGTGCTGTGAGGGATACAAAAGTATAAGCACATTTCAAAAAAAAAAAAATTACCTTTTTGGACTGATGGGATATAAACTCAGATTCAGGTAATTCAGTAGAGAGAGCTCGGTTGAGAATGGGCTCTACCCTCGGCTGAGCATCCTGGCTCAAGTCACTTCACCTTTCTGAACCTTAGTTTTTTAATCTATAGAATGGGGTCAAATCTGTGTGCCTTGTCTTGCTCACAACACTGTTATGAGGAGAGAATGAAATAATGCTTATGAAAGTGCTTTGTAAAATTAGGTGGTGCAACTGAAAATTTAAAAAAATATCTATTGGGTAACTTATCTAGTCAGGGTGATAAAGTGGCCCTGCCTGCCCCCCCCCCCCCCCCCCCCCCCGAGAACAGCATTTTATGTTAAACTGCTCTTCCTGCATCAGGACCTGGGGCTTGTCAGGACAGTAGGGGTCGGGGGGCTGCAAATAGGGAAATTTACCAGAGGCGTCTGGACTCCTCTTAGGATGGGTTTTCAAGTCGTGCCAAGATGGCTTGGCCTTTTCAGTAAAGTGAGCTGTGGTTTTGTTCTTGAAAAACATGTCAATGAACAGTGCAGTGTTATAAAGAGTACAGCATTGAAAACCTGATGTAGACCCTAGAACCTCTGCCTTTTATGTTAATAACTAGAGGCCCAATCCATGAAATTTGTGCAAGAGTAGGCTTTCCTTCCCCTGGCTGCCGGCCCCAGTTTCCATCTGGCACCCAGGTCCTGGGCTTCCCTCTCAGCCCCAGCTTCATCTGGAAGGATCAACGCTTTTATTATTATAGACTAGAGGCCTTGTGCACGAAATTCGTGCATGGGGGTGGGGGTGTTACCCTCAGCCCAGCCTGCACTCTCTCTAACCCGGGACCCCTTGGGGGATGTCTCACTGCCAGTTTAGGTCTGATCCCCACTCAAGTGTATATTTATGTAAGAATTATATATAAAGTATATATTGTGTATACATATATTTTTATTTAATTCTTTACTCATCTTCATGAGATAGGTTCTATTACCAACATTTTATACATGAAGAAACTGAAACACAGGCCCTGGATGGTGTGGTTCAGTGGTTGAACGTCATCTCATGCACCGAGCAGGTTCAATTCCCCATCAGGGCACATGCCTGGGTTGCAGATTCAATCCCCAGTAGGGGGTGTGAAGGAGGCAGCTGACCGATGTTTCTCATCAGTGTTTCTCAATTTTTAGTTTTATTAATGATATTTCAAATACATACAAAGATTACAGTCTAGAACATGTAGCCAGCAGTTTTATCAAGTATCAACTTATGGACAATCTTGTATCATTTATAACCCCACCTGTATTTCCTCATCTCTCTATAAATCTAGTGAACAACAAAGATGTTTTTCACTTCTTTAGGAAGCCCATTTGACCGAGTGACATCCAGCTAACCTTGTCTCTTTCTGTTTGGATATGCTGAGGAGGACTGGAGATTGCAGAGTAATGATGGTGTGAAACATGGATTCCACCCTACTCCGAAGAGAGTACTGTTCACTCCTAAGAAATCTGACACTGACGCTCTTTTTCAAAGAAAAAGAAACTTTTGTTGTGAAGTCAAATGCCAGGGTTTTTAAAGACAACATGTGGGGGGCACTAAGCTGTTGGACCTGCATCCCATTGTCTGGAAGAAGGTGGGAATGAGGGCTAACGCAGTAGAGGATGCAGTAGAGGTCATGGACAGGTTGCACTAGGGGCCAGGCCAAAGGGACAGATAAGGGAATAGGCTCAGAGATTATTTGTATCACATGTCATATGTTCTTAGTGTCTACTTCATCCCCTCTTTAAAAAAAATAAAATCATAGTGGATCAGGTCCAGAACAGTAATATAAGTGATTCAGGAAACTGAACAGTGCATTGAACAAAAATTAGCTTTTTGTTTTATTTATTTAAATTTGTGTTACTTTGCATTTTTTTTATTTAGGTAAAACTGAAGCCCAGAGGCAATGTAATAATTTTACAGTTGAGATATTGGGTGCAAGAACAGAGGCTCTGGTGTGAGGTGTACCTCAGGAATTTCCGGGAACACCTGAAGAGGGAGGATAGTGATGACGTAGTGAAGCATCAGTCTTACCTAAAAACTGCTGTTGGAAATTTTAACTCTGCTATTTTGACTTCTGTAAACGCTTGCTTAAATAATAAGGAAAATTAGACTACTCCCATTCCAGAAAGGCCATAAGTTATGCCCCAGAGTTGTCAGTGCTGGCACCAGGCCAGGCCTTGAAATATGGTCTCATGGCCCCTTCCCAGCATACAGACCTTCTTTCTAGAGGAAAGGTAATTTGAGGGACATTTCAAATCTATTCTTTTGTGCAAGAAGTTGTTAGTAGGATAATAGAAGGAAATCCAAATTAAATAATAATTTATTCTACTTCATTGAGTAATGATACTATTTTTTTTTTTTTAGAAAAACCAATGAAAGGCATTTTTAAAAATATATATTTTATTGATTTTTCACAGAGAGGAAGGGAGAGGGATATCGAGCTAGAAACATCGATGAGAGAGATACATCTACCAGATGTCTCCTGCACTGGGGATGTGCCCACAACCAAAGTACATGCCTTTGACCTTAATCGAACCTGAGACCTTTCAGTCCACAGACCACCGCTCTATCCACTGAGCCAAACCAGTTTCGGCGAAAGGCATTTTTTATTACAAGTGGATCAAAGCATTTGACATGATAATTAATTCATAAGTGTATTGATCCTGAAGGTTTAACTACACATCAGTGGAGTTACCTATTTGGTCTAAAGATAACTACATCATTTTCTCATCTCAATAAAACCAACAAAAGATTATATTTTCTTGTTGCCCTTTTTAAAAATATTTAATGTGCTATATTTTCTATCTTAATCTATTCTAAAGCAAAGGAGGTCCCTTTGCTTTTAATGGATGATATTAAAATATATATCTACACATTCTATATGAGTTGAAAGAAGGTTTCCTTGCCTACTCCCACATCTGCTTCATCCTGTCTGTGACGGAGTCCCTCCCCAGGGCCTCTATTTCATGTTGATGATTCTGTGGGCCCCCCACAGGCACCCAAATCACTGTGGCATCTCTCAAAGCACAGAAATACACCGCTGAGTCCCCAAGCTGTGTCTGTGATGGTGAGGTTGATGGAACTGGCTGATTTCTGGAAGGTCAGAGAATATCGACCCTCAGTGGTATTTTGCTCATTATAAGACTCCTGGCAAATAAGGAAAGTCATTTTCCCACTGGATGGTTGTTTGTACCAGAATAAATAATAATTGTATCTGCCAACTTCATATACACAGTTCAAGGCTACAGCCTCCTTCACCACCACAGAAATTGCAGGCTGGGCTTGAGTTACTTTCTTGGTCATGCTGGATCCTGCAAGAAAGAGAAAAGAAACAGGCCGTAACCGTGAGTGTAAAAGGGATGAAGTGGCTTAGGACCCAGCACTCTGGTTCCATTGCCCATTGTCCTCCTTTTAAACCTCTTCAGACAACGATTTGCTTCTCCCACAACCTTTAGGATTGAGAGGAGCTTGAGCACTGTGTCTGTGGCCATCCTTACCAAGACAGATGGAGGCTATGACTGCCTTCAGCACACTGGCAATCAGCATATTGGCAGGTCTTCTCTTGAATGAAATGTCCTATATTCTATCTCAAATTCTTTACACTGTGCTCAAGAGGTACAGGCAGAGATCCTGGGCTGTGCGATGCTCTGCCACCCTGCAGGAAATAGAATTAGCATATATAGCACAAGTTTACTACCTGTTATATCACATGCTTCCTGTTAGGTGAGAAATGCTGGCCTCCTGAGCTAGACCTATTTTGTCTACTTTTAAGTTATAGGACTGGAAATAAACAGTGGGAAAATGGAATCCTGTTCAGTTCATTTCTCTTTGATGGAAAATGTGGGACTTTTATAGAATACAATTTATTATGAACTATGGTGAATACAATGGATAATGTGGTTATGTATCTTTTAATCTTATTTATGTCTCGTTCTCTCTTCTAAGAGAAGCAATGTAAAAAATAATCATGATGTTTTAACTTTCTCACAGGAAAGCAAAACTTTTAGTCTCAGCCTTTGTTTCTACTTTGCATGGAATCCAAAATATTTACATGAGAAATATTTTGTTGTTAATGAATGATTTCAAATCATGCCTCCTGAATCACAAAATGTGTCATGTGTGTGCCATGTTGAGTAACAGCAAAGGTAAAACATTTACTCTCTCTCTCTCTCTCTCTCTCTCTCTCTCTCTCTCTCTCTCTCTCTCTCTGTGTGTGTGTGTGTGTGTGTGTGTGTGTGTGTGTAAACAACAATTCAGAAAATTCTACATTCTACTAAGTGCCTAAGTACAGGGATTTCTGTTATAACTCCATACATACATTTCTAAAAATCATCTTGTTCTTTCAAACCATCCATACTAATTATGTAAAAATTGGGATAGGAAAAAATCCTTAGGCTGTACAAATTTGTAACAAGAGCATTATAAAAAACACACAATAGAAATCCTATTAAAAGTATCCATTGGCATTTGTCTATTGCATCATAGCCAGTAGTCATTTTGTAGCCTTAAACATTGGGACTTGTGCTTTGCCTCTCTAGATATATGTTCATGAGAACATAAAGCAAGATGCACCAAAATTTTAAATGTAATTGTTCTTTATAAATCAATATTGTTAAGATCAGAGGTGGGAATAGCCTCACAGTCTTTTTTAAAATATGTTTTTATTGATTTCAGAGAGAGAGGGAGAAAGAGATAGAAACTTCAATGATGAGAAAGCACGCCCTAATGGGGATTGAGCCCACATTCCAGGCATGTGCCTTGACCAGAATTGAACCTCGGTCTTCTGGTTCATGGGTCCATGCTCAACTACTAAGGCACATTAGCCAGATGTTCCACAGTCTTTTTATCTGTGCTCTGTTTCACCAGGTGGCTTACCACAGAAACTCTAGAAATTATTGAACCCACTAAAACAAACTCTGCTCACACTAAAGTAGAATTAAAACTTTTTATTTTATAATGAAAAACTTGCCTGAGAGTACTTTACTTTGGCATAAATTATTAATGTACTTAGAAAAATCACAGAAAATCAATGAAACTTCCACATCATTTTGACATCATACCTGTATTTGCTAACTTGGTAATCATGCTCAATGAGTAGACATATTTGCCATTTCAAGGATTTTGTTTGTATTTTGAAAACATTGTCTTTATTTTCCTGACAAATACCTGTATGCTTCATGATAACAGACACTGAGGTTCAATGTGGCTCCTACAATAACCAGGCTGGTCCCCTTAAACCCCATGTGAACCCTCTGGGTTTGTACTCAGCTCCCCCTGCAGCCTCCCTCACTGTGTCTCCCAGAGTGCAGTAGTACACAGCCGAGTCTGACACTTGCACTGAAGATTTCTTCAGGTGGAAAGTGCTGTCTGTCTTCACAAGCCTGGCCTGAAAACCTCTGTTGCTCACCTCCCGGTTATCTGATGAGCTTTTCAAGAGGAGAACAGGCTCTTTGTTTTGATATTGAACATACCAGAAAAGAAAATCTGAGTAGGTAGTCTTGTAAGTGCATTTCAGTGTCAAAAATGCCCCCTCTACGAGGGTAACAGGGTCTTCTGTCTGGTTCACTGAGCCTCCACTGGTTCCCCCTAAAAAAAAAAAAAATAATAATAATAAAGGTTTTGTTACATTGGCAAGTGAAGAGGGATAGCTTCCAGTTTGGTAGAAATTAGGTTGTCCTAAAACTAAGGAATAGAACATCTTCAACCTCTTGAATAAATGTTACTTACTTAATATTGATAAGATCACAAGTCCCAGGCAGGAGGGAGACAGCATGGCTGACAGAGAAGCAGCAGCAGCCTTGGTTGGTAATACTGAAGCTGAGAGGGCTGTCTCTCTACTCTCTGATCCCTTATTGGAATAGTCTTGGCTCAGGTGTTAAGCAAGACAAACTGCCCTGCAAGTTCATGTCACAGGCTGTAAAAATGTGTGTTCAGGGATGGAAGAGGTGTGTCAGACCACCACTTAAGGGCAGCAGCGCCCTCTCCTGGTTCCTCCTCTGACCTGCAGTCTGCTTTGAATTTGACATTTACCTTGGAGTGGAGTTTAAATTGTAGTCATAGAAGGGAAATCCTGCCTGTGGTGAGAGGTAGAGCTCCAAGAAGGAAGCACCAAACACCTTCTGCAGGCTTCACAGTGGTGTATGAGGTTGAGACAGTGTGCAGTTCCTCAGTCTCCTCTTTAGCATTCAGGGCAATAGGGCTTGCTTAAGTCTCCCTAGTCCCAGCATCTAATGCTTGTTCACATCCAGTATTAAAGTGGTAAGCTAGTTTTAGAATCTTAGGGTTTACTGAGAGTTGAAAAAAGCACGTTCTAAGTTCTCTTCTTGACATAGTCACCCCAGGTCCCTTGGAACCAGGGCATGAGCCTCTCTGCTTAGAATATTCTCTCTTCCCTCCTCTGACTTTGCCTAAGTAACTTCTATTCATTCTTTCAGAGGCAATGGACACACCACCTTTTTGTGAAAGCACACTCTTTAGGCTGAGTTAGTGCCCATCTGTTTTCCCATTTTACTTGTATACATACCATCACTGTCATGGCTGTATTTTAGAATCATCTTTCTCCTGTTTTTCAAACTAGATTTGGTGCCCTTGAGATCAGGAACTTAATCTTATGAGTCTCAGTATGCAATTTCTGAAAATATGCAGTCCCTTACTTCATAGCTGGTGTGCAAAAACTATCTGAAGAATCCTAATAAAAGAGTAATATGCAAATTGACCATCACTTCAACATATAAGATGGCTGCTCCCATGTGGTCAAAGATAGCCACCATAAGATGACCAGCAGGGAAAGGCAGTTGTGGGTGATCAGGCCTGCAAGGAAGGGCAATTGTAGGCAACTAGGCCTGCAGGGGTGGGAAGTTGGGGGTGACCAGGCCCACAGGGGAGGGCAGTTAGGGGTGACTAGGCTGGCAGGCGAGGGCACTTAGGGGCAATCAGACTGGCAGGGGAGCAGTGAAGCATCAATCAGGCTAGCAGGGGAGTGGTTAGGGGATGATTAGGCTGGCAGGCAGAAGTGGTTGGTAATCAGGCAGGTAGGTGAGGAGCTGGGAGCCAGCAGTCCTGGATTGTGATAGGGATGTCTGACTGCCCATTTAGGCCCTTGAGGTGTTCCAGATTGGAGAGGGTGCAGGCTTGGCTGAAGGACACACACTACTTTTTATACACAAAACACTGAATAGGAGGTCTGTTAAGAGGAATGTATTTTCAGTAGCATCAAATTGTATGAAGAAAACTATATTCCACATGTATTTCTCTTACTAGGGGCAAGAATAAATGGATGGAAGACTGTTATATATGTTATAATAAATGACCCACTTTCAAAAAACTGTTTCAGCGGTAGTAGAGAACATATATCTCTCACAATTATAGAAATCTATGCTTGGAAATCACACAACTAGTAAATGACAAAGTCAGATTCAAATTCTGGTATCTATACTGTTCACCTTTAAAATGAAGTTTGAGGACTTGAGGATGATGACCAGCAGGAAGGTAGGGAGGAAGAGAGTGTGAGAGAGTGAAGAAGCGAGCGAAAGAGGAGTGTGTAGATGTGGGGTGTGTGTGTGTGTGTGTGTGTGTGTGTGTGTGAGAGAGAGAGAGAGAGAGAGAGAGAGAGAGAGAGAGAGAGAGAGAGAGAGAGAGCTAGGGACAGTTAAATTCTGCAGGTTCCAAGGGGCTGCCAAACAGGGCAGTCTTAGAGGTGGAGCCCCAAGCACAACTCAGACACTTCTGGGCAGACAGTGCAGGCACAGAGACCACACCATCTTGAAAAACAGAACTGCTTGAGACTAGGATCCTGGCCTCAGCACCATCCAGTCTGGTCTCAGACACAAACCAGGACCCTGCAGTCACAGGGACAGAGAACTGCGTCCTCTGCTACAGACCAACAGACAATAAGAATCCAGACATCCCAGTCACAGATTTCTGTGAGTCAAGAAGCCTATCCTCCTCTTTGCAGGCTTGCAGGCAGTGTCATAGTAACTGCTAGACCTGCCCCTCGCATGGGCCACAGTGCCACTATAGGAATTTGAGCCTGCACACCCTAGGATACCTGGAATCTGCTCCCTGCAGCGCAATCTGGTGACCAAACCTGAAGCCCACGCAGGTAGGCAGTGCCACCTGACTTTGATTCTGCACTCGGAAGTCTGCTTTCTGCAGCACAGGAGCAAACCTCCTACTGACACAGTGCTACTGTGCATCCCAGTCCCCCAAGCTGACCAGGACCCCAATTCTCCAGGCAGGCACGAGGCAGCACTGAGCACCACGGACTTGATTCTGTTTCTTCTTGCGTGCGCCTGGGATCCCTGACTCCCAGTGCATTCACACTAAAAGCCAGTGATTCCAATTCTTGGTGCATGTGCACACAGGGCCCTGATTTTCAGCGATAGGCAGCACGAAGCAACAGAGATTCTGATACTAGATTTTTGGTGCAGAGACAGGGCAACTCTGACTCCTGGCACATGCTAGGGGACTCTGATTTTTAGCACATACCAACAGCGAGGTGCAGGTGGGGTCCCTGATTCTAAGTGGGCACAAGAGACCACACTGAGCACTGGTAACACTGACTCTGGGCCAGTCTGGTCCCAACCAACACACCGTAACCACATTTCATAGTATTGCAGCACTTCAGCGATACTC